AGTATTGATGTGTCTAAAGCTGCGGCATATTCTGAGAAAGAGATCAAAATATAAAGGCATTAAAAATCCGAAAGAAATGTCTATTTTTATCACTTCTTAATAACAAAATACTTAGGACGGTTGTGCAGCAACGCCAGTATTCGCACGCGATGTCTAATATCGTTAGAGTAGAGCGTTATAATTCGATATTTTTTTTTTTATAGAACACAAGCAGTTGATATTGTTTTGTTGTACACTTTGTAATTATTTCATCAATATGTGCACGAGGTTTAACGCCTGATGTGTTTGTCGATAAAACTGAAAGCAATCACTAAGAGTTTTAATGTCTCCTACATGCCGCGAGGAAATTTATCCGTGTGTTAAAAATAGGAGAATTTTTTTATTTAATGTGCTTAGTATGAAAAGTGCGCGCGTTGCTGTGTTCAATTTGACGGAAACGTGTCTTCGATTGTGTTGTGGCGTAGGATATTATACACAAATAACTATGCATTGAACGTACAGACGAAAAAGAGGACTCAATTTTATCAGGCATGTGAAATTAATTTTTGGTTAAGGAACTTTGTATGATGGCTTTCAGGATCGTTAAATGTTGGTTACTAAATATCATTTGACGAACGTTACCAACAGCTATATGCAAAAGCATGGCTACGTAGACCAAATTAATCAAAATAACATAGAAGTAATAACAATAAAATTGAATATTACGGGTAACGGTACCTTAGCGAGACAATCTCATAGACTTGTGCGCATAAAACCCAAACTTCAATCAACCCTAACCCTAGCCTTACTTTATTCTACCCAGAGTTTGTAAATTTAGGTTAAAAGGAATCGATCTACCCTATTTGCGACACTAAAATCTTGCCTGGAAATAAGAGTTGAAGATTGGGGGACATTGAAATGTCTCTATAATCTACCTTGTCTCCCAAGGTAGAACCTTAGATGATAACATGTCTCCCAAAGGGTACATTTACAGGAATTAACCATTGTGGTTTGTACAACTATACTTTTTCCTTCTCGTATTTTCTCGGCGTTTTTCCTGGCTTTTGCCTTGACACCATTAGAACCAAACCGAGGCTCCACTTGCAAAACCAGACTGCCTGGCCCAACTAGGCTATCGGTTCAAACCTTAGTTGGTACGATCCCAACTACATTAACTTTGGACGATCCCATCTTAAGTTGAGACAATGGTCTGGTTTGGGCAAGGCATCGTTACAGTGTAGGTTGCTAAACTATTACGTAAGAATCTGCTCAAATGGCCGATACAGGTGAGATCGCTTTTCCAACCAAGATGTTCAAAAGGCTTATAGGGTTTCCCCTTCTTGCGATATAGCCTCATTTCTAACGGACAACAATTACCATCAGCATTCCATTCAATTGACTCACAGTGGCTATTAATTGGAAGTCTTTTCGTGCTTTTCGTCTACAGAGTGGGTCAGATTTAGCCCATTCATTGCTGTTAAGGGGTATTCCTGTACGATGGCACCATCCGACTCAGTAATGACAGTTAGTCAGTGTGTGAATCAGTCAGTGCGTCAGTAAGTGAGATAAGTGCAAGGGCGATACTGAGCAGATCCATTCGGACCAGCAATTTGCTTGCCAATCGGTAATGTCCAACACTTACACTGGTTAAAACCCGACACCAAAAACACGTGCGTGTTAACTTTCGCAGCCGTGTTACTTTCACACACGTAACACGAGCCAGCCCGATTGGCTTTGAAACCCGACGAGATCTCTCGACCTCCGCGCCCGGGGTCTGTTTCGGTGGATTTTCCCCGTCGACGACTCTGGGGAGATGCCTCAACCTCGTCCCCACGGAATCGGGCGCCGGGGACTGCAGATTTAGTGGCAGATTTCGCGCCGTATTGTCATGATTAGCATAAATGTGGTGTCGATAGACTTAGATTGGAGAACTAATGCATATAGAGTAGACAAAAAGTCAACAATGATCTACTCCAAAAAATCAGGAAAAAAACAATACTTTTTGTCATCAATAACCTATCAATATCTTACACTATACTTTTTTTTATGACTCGCTTGTATAGGATAGTCATATGACGTAAAAGTACCACGTGGCCATCTGGTTTCCCCGTGATTGGCCAGCATTGCAGTAGGCAAGCATTTGGTTAGCAACCACAACAGTATAGTAGGGCTTATTGTCACGTAAAATTAATACATGTATTGGTCACTGTGTACCGTGTACGGTTGTCATAATCGTGAAAACAAGAGCTGCGTCTTGACTCCAGTTTTTTTTCCACACAGTTTTTGCCATTCGTCACAGCTTTGAAGGCTTGCATACTACACTTTAAAAAAAAAACATTAGTCAGATTTGACTAGAAACCAGTCAAATTTGACTAGCCATTCAGGGTCAGCTGGGTGCAACTGAAAATCAGTCAATCTGACTAGATTCTTCCAGTCAGTATTCATTGACTTTAGAAAAATAGTTATGCAAATAACTAAAATTGGAGTCGAACCCAACTACCTTTTTAGTCATATTATGAAACTTTGCATGATTAACTAAATTCCTAGTCAATGTTCAATAACTAGGAAAACCAGATATACCCACTGCACGCAGCGCTTTACGATCATCGCCTACTTCAGCGGCGACGCTGACTTTCCGGTATACTCAGATATAGGCTAGGCCACGTGAGTCATTGGCAACCCTCTACTTTGACGAAGAGAATAACTGACGATTCTACATCGTGTACGTTTCAAGTAAATTATTCAGATTATTAAAATCATCAGTAAAAACATTCATGGATTATTACAAGCGTTCAAAACATGCATTTTAAATAATCCTTTATAATGAGCGTTCAGGACTTTGTAATAGGGCATGCGAAGGTTAACACTAGCATTTTGCTGTTTTGAGGACAAGGACACAACAAGTGCAAACCTCATTGCCATTTTATGCATTTTTTAAAGCAACATGTATTTATTCAAGATTTATCTCAGTAGATGTTCTTACAGGGCTTATAGGGAATTCAAAGAGCTTTGAGGTTTTTTTCTTCTGTTTTTGACGGGTGCCGTCTTGCGGCACGAGGCAATGAATAATATTACAGCATAGTCAATATTTTCACCGGTCTGGGGGATATTAATTGGATGTTAGAGTGTGTTTTGAGAACATGGTGTTCACGATATTCGCTTGAGAAGGTTTCATGCATTGAGCTATTCCTATTGCAAATCTTTGATAGTTCCTGTAGGTTTCGTGTGGTTCTGCACATAAAAGTGCGAAAAGTACAGACTTAATGCAACATCAGGGGTGTGGTTGATAAAGATATCATGTGATATCGATATTCTAACATCGCAATTGTTTTGCATTTTGCATGTGTGTAAGTAGTCGATGGGAAGAAATTTGAACGGTTTTACCGTACAAACCGAGTCGGAGGTAGCTGTTTGGACTTTTTTTAAGGATATGTTTTGAACACAATTCATTTTACAATCTCTTCCCGCCGTTTCTACCTATAGTGTATGTTCCACTCCAACTATAGCATCGTCTCAACTAATTGGATCATACTATAGCTATTATTTTAACACCTCACTCACAAATATTGTGTATCTTGATTGGCCGAGAGCTAGTCACATGGCATTCGATATTTTTTGCTAACTTGCTGCAGTACACAACCAAAGGTACTAAATCCATAACAACTAAAGTACCACGCCCGTAGCAACCAAAATACTATATAAGGTAGACGCATAGTGAAAGCCGTATATAGAGCTATATTACAATTCGTGAAGGGATAGGTTTGAAAAGTGCGAGTAAATTTTCAACTCATTTTGTATTCAAATAGAAGTACATTTTAACTGTATTCAGAATAAATTAATCAGTTATCGCTTAAAATCAAGCAGAATCTGTGGGAGAGGTGTTATAAAACAAATACTGACTGTTATATCTCGTGGTGTATAGTGAAACGGTGATCCATGGATCGGAGCACCGGGGAAAAAAGAATGATTCATGGATCACCTCGGGAGGCTAGTTTTACAACACCAATCGAAGCAGTCAATATTTGTATACTGCGAAAGTTGATGGACACTGTCCGAACTAGTGGGGGGTCATGACAGTATGTGTGCGTAACAGTGGCAATACAAACGAATAACATTATGTTCTACGATGGAAGTATTCAAGCTCCACAATCTTGAAGGAGTTGGAAAAAATGTCGCTTCGAAATACCTCTATTTTCACAACTATAGAAAAGCGATCTCTACTATAGGAAGATGGATCTGCAACAGGAAATGTGTATACCGACGACCACTAGAACGTACGAGACGGCATTTATCCCAAAAATAACCTGCCGAATTATTATCAACAAGCCGCTAAGTTGGATTAAAGATCGCACTGGTACTAAACACCCCGTGAAATCATTTTGTCTGGCTTGCTGTCCATTCGAGGAAATCAAGAAATGTTAGGTGATTACCAATTATCAGTCAATTAGGCCTATCGGATGATTTGTTTTCAAAATAAAGAGTGATATGGACGAAATCGTGTTTCGTGATCAAAAGTTTGTGAATTGTTCACTGTTTTCTGTAAAGGTGTACTATCCGCTGCGCTGGAACTTCAACAGGTTAGGTTAACATATTCTACTGTAAATTTCGAGTTGTGTGTACTATTCGAAATAACGAACAAAATTCATGAAAAGCTAATGATCCTCTAGGCATAGGCCTATGCCTTTAAAATTGCCGACAATATGGAAATAAACGCACGGGCAATTTGTCGTATACCACTCAGCTCAGGCTTATCTAAAAATTATATCCGAAGACGATAAGCTCTTCCGACTTGTAGCACGTTAAAACGCTGGGACTTTCTTTCCAACAAATCCTTCCATCGCATAGTACGCAATTAGATTTTATCCTTGCACATAATGTCTGAAGGCGAATCCGTAAGTTTAATTTTGTCTCGACTCGCGAGATTGTACAGATACATTAATTTACTCGGACGGGAAATTATCCGCCCTTGAGTACCACTAATGTTGAAGATTTGACAAGAGATAGTTCGGTACAAGACTTACCTTTATACTCGTGTTCTGTCAGGGACGAAGTGTACGGTTTGCTGGGCTTTGCTGGCCGATCCACGTGGCGCGTATCACGGTGTCCGCACGATGTATGTTAGCCAGCGCACGACGGGGGAGAACCTTTCAGGTAACCGGTTAAATAAAAGCGCTCCGTTCGGGTGCAAGAAAGCTGAGTGAACTCGCCGCGCGTAACCAGCGCTTTTAAGTACTGCCCTCCTCGCATTGCATTGTGGGATCGCCGCCCCCAACGGCCGTGACACGCCGCTAATTTGTTGACGAACAACTGGTATGATTCGTCGGTTACAAGTCGCGCACTCGTCCATTACGGGCTTCCGTCAATTAGCAAAGGAAAAAAAAAACCTTCTTTTGGGGGGAAACTGGGTAAACTTAATGCCGCATCGCTTGGAATCTAGAGCGATCCCCGGTAGTCGCTTCTTGGTATTCAGTGCGCATGAACAAGCCAGGCGAGATAAAAGGCGGGTATATTTGGTCAAATTGATTTGTTTGTCTCTGGCGCGTGACGCCTGACCTTTTTTTTTCCTCGAGAGAGAAAAAAAGTCGAATTTGTTGATTGCGTGAACCACTTTCAAGAATTGACATGGGCTCTCAATCCTCGGCGATATCAGAAGCGATTTTTTTCTCTTTCTGTAAGAAAACCCAGAAGTCATGTTGAGTTGACGTTTCGATCCATTTTAGCAGACCGTCTTCATCAGTGAGAACAAATTTGAGAAGAAAGAACTAATTTTACTAAAAATTGTCACTTCGGAGGTCGAAAACGGCTCTTTAAATGCACACTGCAAAAGCTTCGGTATGATCGTTGTGTGGTATATTCAACCACGGATGGGGAAAATAAACTGTTAGGCATCAATGTTGTCCTTGTGTTTAACATGAAAAGGTAACAAAGCTGGTAACAAAGCGCACACAATTCTGTTCAGTCGATTCAGACTAGAGCTATTTTCTTGAAGTCTTGACATGCATCTTCGCCAGGGTTGGCATCCTTAGGCGTTAAGGGGTAATTTTATACGATTGGACTGCCCGGCTCTCTTCGTCAGCCTACAACTAGTCTAAGTCACAAGTGTCGGGGAGTCAGTCAGTTGGGGGGTCGGGGAGTCAGTCAGTCGGTCAGTCGGTCGGTCCGTCGGTCTGTCGGTTAGCAGCCAGCCAGCCAGCCAATCAGATAGCTACACAGAGGACACTTAACTTCCCTCTGCGACACAGTGGTTGAAATTCTTAACGCAAGATACATTCAATCAAAACACATTCTGTTTCGTGAAAAGTATGTTGACACTTAATAACTTCAGAAAACGCACGACGACCGTTCAATCTTTCGACTATGAATTATAGACTTTTAAGTTTATAATCTGAAGATTTATGGTTTTGAGTGATTTTACATTCGCACGACCTTTTTTTTTTAGCAGGAAGACAAATTTAAGTGTTTGGATGGGCAATTAATTATTAGAAATTTACAAAATTAAGTGACAAAGAATTCATCCGCAATATGCTTAAAAAAAATCGACATCAAAATTTGAAATTTTGAAATCATCATTATTTCGTATTAAAAAAAATACAATTTAAATGTTAACGAATGCAACAGTCAAAGACTTTAATTCTAATAAACACTCACATGGAATCATCACATCCAAACAATTTCTAAAGAGCTGTTTTACCCTCGCGACAAAAAATAATGACACGGCTAAAATTTCACGTCTATGAATAGAAGTCTCTCATCCTATCAACTAAATAAAATTTCTTGTCTGTTTATAAATTCACAAGTCATTGAAGAATTATTATGCCAAGTCTCTGGAGAACTCCATCTCTAAATGCATCGATTTATAAACGATGTCTCCAGAGAGGGAAGTTGGCAAATAAGGCGGTATATTGAGATCAAACGCGTGGTTCTCCTATCCCCATCTTTTTTTATCAATCGTTTTATCATTCCGCCCCGACTTCCTCTATCGTTGTGTATCATTGTGTTTAATGACTGACCAATTGTCGTGCCCTACGGCTGTTTCTGTCTGTATATTCCGTGAAAAGGGATGATACGTTCTTAACTTTGTGAACTTAAATGACCCATGCCACTTAATTTTTGTTTTAATGTAGTCCTTGTAAATGCACCTTGTGTTCTATTTCACCTTGTGTCTTCCTGAAATTACTTCTCGGTCATGGCGCCCTCATTTTGTCAAGAAAAAACACGGACAATTGTTAATGATTAAAGCAGTGCACTTTGCCATAAGATTGACCAAACAGGGATGTTTTAACAATAGTTTTCATACATTTAAGAGTAGGAAAAAGTTGCCCAAAATGTGTTCCCAAGTAAAATTCATGTAATAAGACTTAAAACGGTTGCCTTCAGCAGGTGAATTGCCTGAATTTAGATGCCTTCAAACGAGACTCCGAGTTCTTATTTTTGTTGGTCGCAATGTTGCCATTTCCCCCTCATAACCTATAGGCTCCTCTCCAGTTCATGTTTGAGAAAACAAAAATGATTTTCGGTTGAATAATCAAGCTCACATTTTGAACAAGAATAATCGTTCACCAGGTAGGCACGCAATGGGCAGACACTCTTCAAATAGTTTCTTATTTCGAAAGAATAAAAAAACTTCAATCTGTTGCGTGTGACGTGAAAGATCACTGAAACGAGAGACGAGATTGTTCAGTAGCGCAACCCCCCCCCCCCACCCCGTTCAGCCTCTGACTAATTTAATGAAGCTAGTCAAATAGGGCCAAACATATTAAATGGAATGCTAAAGTTCCTAAAATGATTCCTGAGTTGCCTGAGAATGCAAGAGTTTTCATAGTAGATTTCACAATTTTCCGGGGGCATGTCACGGACCCCCCTCCCAGCTCGTCCCCTTTATATCACCCCCTCCACCCGTTTCATGAAAGGTAGATCCGCCCCTGTTTTTTTTTAGAGTGCAATTCATTCAATCAATAATCGATCGACTTTTCACTCGAATTTAATTTCGAATATTTACTATTTCAATTTAAAAATAGAGTGGTCACCTCTCTAAATCGTCCGAGTCTCCAATTGAACTCCCCACGGTGAATTTTAACGCCAAGGATTTGTAGTGTAAACGCAAATCTACGAAGCACTGAACAGAAGTTTACAAAAATTAGCTTGATCTCAAACGGCAGTAACACAGTATTCGAAACAGTCGTCGGGTGAAGCCGAGGCGGCCCGGCTGCCTTGCTTCAATCACCAGGCAACAATTCATTAGCCGCTTCTACAACCCATCCCTCACAAGGCGGCGGCGCTGACCTTGCGGTAGCTGAAAGCGCCTGCGACGTGTAACGCTTGACACCACAAACCAACCAATCTTACCTCGCTACATGCGACTTGATAATTTTGTTATTTATATCAGCCATTAAGCCTGAAGTACATTTTGTATACGCGGAATCTCAAGTTGAAGATCCATATCTTTCTCTTTGTCCGTGTTTCAGGGTAATGTTCCTCCAATGTGCTCGGGTGGGAATGGCTTACTTTGTTATTTATTCCTGCCATTAAAATCCTGAAGTACCCGAAGGTGTCGCAAGACTTCAAAGAATGAAATGTAATTTGTTAAGAGCAGAGAACATTGGCGTCAGATGCGCAACTTGTGACCCGCTAACCGCAAACTTACTCGATTACATTGTGTGCTTTATTCAATTCAAAGTCACATTTCTGATCTGTCGTAAATCCAGAGTACATGGTGAGTCAAAAAGAAAGTGGGCCGTATCATAAGTCCGACGCCTCATAGGTCCGACGCCTCATAAGTCCGAAATTTCGGAGTTATGAGGCGTCGGACTTATGGGCCTTTATTTGGTTAGGGGATGTGATTTTGTCGGACTTATGAGGCGTCGGTTCTATGAGGCGTCGGAATTATGAGCGGACTCCAAGAAAGTGACCCGAGTTAAAGTTCTTTTCTTTTCTTAAAAAACAATCAAATTGGATACACCAATGAAGAATGTCTTTAAAATGCTCTTCCACTCATCTGGAAAAAAAAGAAGAAATACTGAAATTGATCCATGTCATCAGAAGTTATGCATGTTTTACTAAAAGTACCCATTTTTATAGTTGTCCATGGAATGCCATCGGAAGCTATTAGGCGCAGTGAGAATTCCAGATTACACACAAACATTCAAATACAACATTTTAATAATTGAAATCAAGACTGAAACATTATTTTTTGGCTGTTAGATGTTGTATTTTAAATATGAGGAACAAGTCAACTCTTTTTTTCTGGAAATATTGATGGCGATTTTTGTCTGTTTCCTTTGCAAGTTCTCGTTTGCTCGTCCATGTTTCATTGTACTCACGGGGTATTCATCAGTTCGTAGAACGGACAATGATTATTGGTGGCCAGCCCAGTTTTGTTTTTTAACCATCTCAACATTTTCCGCGATAGCCTCTAAAATTTTTTTTTCGCAACTCAAGCTGTTATGACCTTTTAGCCTCGAGCTTTACACATCTTTTGATACCAAAAACATAAAAATCGGACCACGGGTTGCCGCGTAGCGAACAATTTTCTGGCGAAAACTCAATTTTCCGATATACGTCGTGTACTCAGAGCAGAATTGCCATTCGTTCATTTGAATAATTAATTACCCGTAATTCCAAAACCCTTTGACCTATAGTCATGACATTTCTTGGGCATGTTAAGGACGAGTTGCTCTATGCATGTACTGAGTTTCAACCTTTTTTCGTCAATCGATGGCCTAGATCTTATTAGGGGGTGGGGCGGATTCCGCCCCCCTCCGGCTGAGAGATGGTCAAAATAACCCGGCCCTTTTAGGGTTAATCACCCTATAGGCCTATATAGCTGCAGGAATGGTCTGGGTGCGACTATCCTATTTCATTCTCGACGTGCGACTGAGCTTTAAAGAAAACAGAATAAAACTTGATAAGAGAAAACGAAAACATTACCAACATGTTCGTTCTCCTATTACCAAAGATTGAACATTCACGCTATTCGCCTGAAATCAGTGACCAGATTTTTGAGGTGAAATACATTCAATCCAAGCGATCGAATTTCTCGGCAAGGACTGTTTGTTTCAATTTCTGTACGTTTAGTACTGGAGAAATTTCTTTAAGTCAAAGTTGTTTTAGTTCCTAATTGTATTTTTTGAAGTGTGAAATTTCACTCTTCGGAAACACGTAAGGGGCTAAATGGGTACAACGGAAAAAAACAGTAAC